TTTTGTCCTGGCTGAAACACTGAGACCACAGAAACATTCCGTCTCCCCTCTCTTTTCTTTTTCTTTTTTTAAACATTTATTTATTATTTGGGGGGGGCAGCTCAGCCCACCTGGGGGCGGGGCTGGCTGGCATGTGGTGCTGGGGGATCGAACCGCGGTCCCTGTGCTTTGCCAAGCTTGTTCCAAGTAGGTGCTTTAGATCACTGAGCCATCTCACCAGTCCCCTTTTCCCCTTTCATCAGAGCAAAAAATCATTTTTTTCATATAGCCAGTTCAGTACAACGGAAGTCACAGTTCAGGGCTCAGAGTGTAGCTCAGTGGTAAAGTATATGCTTCATATACTGTTCTGACCATTACTGCTAAGAACAACAAACAACAACAAAAACAAATAACAAAAACAAATCACAATTCAGTATGATAGGAGAAACAAAGCAAAGGAAGCATTGGAGTGAAGCCTGGAAAAGACTTACAAAGCTGAAGCAAGCTGCAGGGCAACAAAGTAACTGAAAAGAACAATGTTTATATGACACCTCATAGACCAACCTCAAAATGAGAGACCTTAAAGCAGGCACTTGGCACCTACCACCCACCTGGAATTTCTGTACTCTGGGAGACTGAGACAAGAGGATCACAAATTCAAACCCCAACGGGCAACCTAGCAAGACTATGTTTAGAAATTAGAAAATAAAAAGTGCTATGGATGCAGATCAACGATAGGGAACCCTTGGGTTGAATCCCGTTTTTTTTAAATCCCCAGTTCTGTAAATGAAAAATAAATACAAACAGCTAAGACTTTACATAGCCTAACTTGGTGGCATAGTGATCCTAGTTACTCAGGAGGCTGAAGCAAGAGGATCACAAGAATGAAGCCTGCCTAGGGGGCTGGGGAGATAGCTCAGTGGAATAAGTGCTTGTCTGGCAAGCACAAGGTCCTGAGTTTGATCCCTGGTACCACCAAAAAAAAAAAAAAAAAAAAAGAATGAAGCCAGCCTGGACAATTTAGCTAGACACTACCTAAAGGTTAAAAACAAAATAAAAACAGGTGAGGCTGTAGCTCAATGGTTTCTGAGACCACAGAAATGATTTGTGCCTTGAATATAGGAGCCCTGGGTTCAAATGCTAGTACCACAAAAAATAAAAAAGACCTTCACAGATAAAGCTGGCCATGTAAAAAGCACAGAATAAGCTTGGCACATCAAGCACACACAGCTGATGATATCAAAAGAAGGCATGCAAGTTTAAAGACATCCCTGTTTTGAGGCTGCTGTACAGGAAGATAGCCATAACTAAACACTCTGGCTGTGGTTATTATTTTGGGGCAAATCAAATTCATAAGGAAATTCAGCTGGGCATGGTGGCACACATCTGTAATCCCAGTACACAAGAAGCTGAGATAGGAGGATCCTTGACAGTCTGAAGTCAACTTGGGCTACACAATGAGTTCAAGGCCAGCCTGAATTACATAGCAAGGTCCTTTTATCCCTCCCTCAAAAAAAAAAAAAAGTTAAAAGAAAATAATTAAACAGCTATTTGATCTTTTGTTTGAAATGGCAACACAAGCTGGAAAGATGTTTAGCTACAGAAATTCATGGAGATACAGAATTAGACCACGAAGGGCTAGAATATATCAAATATATAAACCTCAGTTGTTGAGTTCTGGAAATACTATTTGGGTTTTTTTTTTTTTTTTTTTGGTGGAACTGGGGATTGAACTCAGACCCTTGCGCTTGCCACGGAAGTGCTTATCCTACTGAGCCATCTCCCCGGGCCCTGGAAATATTGTTTACAAACATTAATTTAAAAGAGCTCAGCACAGTTAAAAACAAGAGCGAATCCAGAAGAAGCCTAAAAGGTACAATAAAATTTTAAGTACATCTAGATACACTTGACTTGGAGGGGGGGCAAATTTAAGTCCTTGGATGCTTTGCTTTTGCTAAGGGCTGAAAATCGCAATCATTTTAAGAGAACACTTTTCAAGTTCAAAGATGCACTCTCCTACATCTTCCATTTTCCAGCACCTAGCAGTTTCTGGCTGATAGCATCCCCATTTGTAATGTTCCAGTATTACCAAAAAATATTGTGCACACATATTTCCAGCACATGAACGATTTAACTCACCAGTCACCATGTTGAATGTATTTCTGCTGCTTGTCCTGAGTTCTTAAGACTTCTAACATTCTGAAGAAGACAGAACAAAGAAGTTCCTTCCATCCTCAGCCTCTTTTTAAGTTTTAATTTGTTCTTTAAAAAATACAGTATATCTTAAAAACTACCCCATCGTTATCTAATTTACTAATTTCGCTCTTAGCTTCCTATTTTTCAATCTTAATGAAGCAAGACAGTACAACATAAACTAGGAGATTTTATCTAAGGAAAAAGAGATGCAAACTTCCCTAGGACAAACTTAGAATTTTCTTGGAGCCAGAACACTGCTTAAGTGGGGGGTAGGGGGGAAGCCAAGGATTTAAGGATTTAAATCGTTTGATTTTCACAGTGATACATGGACAGGGTTTACAAATTTCTACTAGAGAATTTTGGATTTAAAAAAAAAGCAAAGCGTTCTTAGGTTCATCCAATTTGTTCTAAGCAACTTTTGGGCGCGGAGGGGGGGAAGAGGAGTCGCTCTATAGAACCGACTAAAGTAAGCTCCGCCCACTCATGCAGGGGGGAAAAAGTGCATTTAAGGATTTCACGGGGCATTTTAGAGCTCACAGTTTCACATCTTCTACAAAGGAGAATCCGCTTCCGGGGCGCAAAGAGGTGACAGGTATGAATTGCGCTTATGGAAGAACTGGTTTGTAATGAAAGGAAAGCAGATACTACTGAAGGGTCTTGTGACGTTAACGTTCCCTCCCTGGCACAAAGGCACTAACACAAGGTGAGAAACCCGAGGGGACTTAAATGCCCTATCCAGCCAAAGAGCACTCGGTTTTCGATGCAGGGCACACCCTCCCAAACACCCACCCCGAACACTGGACGCGGTTAACCACGTTCTTCACGAACAACCAGCAATTTCGCCCGCCTCAGAGGAGCGGAGCCGCAAAGTAGACAGCAAACCCGCTAGTTTTACCCGCAGGCCTAGACCATGGCTGCCCAGGGACGTCACCAGAGCAGGAAGGGCCCAACCCTCAAACTTCCCCACGCAGTGAGCCTCTAACCCGCAGCCCCTAGCCTCAGAAGTGGGGTTCTGCGTGCTCTCAAAGCAGCACCGCGACCCAACAGCAGGGCGCGAGCACGAAAACCAGGGACTGAAGGCGGGCGCAAGCCCGGGAAGCCGCTCCTCGCGAGGACCACAGCTCCGAGAACCGAAATATTCGCAACGAGGACGCGCACGTCAGCGGCCACGCGCCCTTAAGGCCGCACAGCGCGCGCGCGCATAAAAACATGGTAGGGCGCGCGCCCGCAATAGCGCGCGCGCCGCGCCCACACGAATCTTCGGCCCGCCCCTCCCCCATCCAGGGGCGGGGGCAAGCGAGCCCAGGGACTTTCTCGGCTCCGGAGCCGCCCCGAGCTCTCCTGGGCCCCGCAACCGCGATTGCCCGCCCCCGCCCGTCGTTGTGTGGGGTGGGCCTTTGGCCCAGGCCTGCAGTCTCCCCGCATCCCTGCCCCCACCGAAGCCCTCACCCGGCGACGTCACCGCCGCCGCCGCCTCCACTCAACCCGCCGGCCCCGCCGAATCGCCCGGGGTCCCGGTTCCGTCGTCGCCGACCCAACACCGACAGGATTTTCTCCTCACAGCTCCCTGAGCGCCATCTTACATTCAACCCTCACAGCCAATGGGTGCCGAATACCCTTCTCGCGAGAATCGGAGCGTCGGATCCCGCGAGAGGTGAGGCTGCCTCCCGGCCAGACTTAAAGTGAACGCTTCAGAGCCGGAGGGAGGCCGCGCCCCAGACTGCCAGAGCTGAAAGCAAATTCCAAGGTGTGGGACGGGGTGCCCCGCCCTGGACCCCCCTCCATTTGGGGCGGAGTCAGGCTGGGGTTTGGCCTAGCCGGTGGCCTCCGCGGGCGAGGGCCGGGAGCTGCTCCTGGACCCACCTTCTGCCGCCCGCCGGGAGCCTCCTTTGGTCGCGTAGCCCCACGCGGGGCGGGGCCCAGCGCGGGCTGACTTTTCGCTTAAGGTGGCCCCACAAAGCCCCGACCCGGGCCCGGCGCGCCCCTCTCTCTTCTCTCCTCCTAAGTCCTGCGTGCTCACCTCTAGAAGCGCCTCGCGTTTGGAACGCTAGCTTTGTGGTGCCGTTTGAACTCAGTCCTCTACAGTCAGGTCCACCTTAAAGCGGCCCGGGGCAGCTTGGTGTTTGTATACAGGGAAAATGTGGAAGGCATTAAAGCTGCAGGCACACATGGCTACCTGCACTACCCTACCAGCCTGTTGTAGATTCTTTTTCTGACTCTAGCTAGGCCTTTCACTTTTCATTTTGTCCTGGCACACTCCCCTAGTCCTTTAGAGTTTCTCAGAAGTTATTGACAGTAGACAGTCTGAGGCCCAGGCTGGGTCAGGAATCTTTTCCCAACCTCACACAGACCCCAGGGAAATCTGTCACACAATGGAGACACTCACTCGTGTCTCCCTTTCTCTACATGAATTTGAAAGGTGTCATATTTCTGCCTGTCACGCGTGTGTAGCACATTACTAGACAATGAATAGTTGATGATCAGACTAGGTACCAGGACTGTTTGCCAGGCACATGGACATAAACTGCATTTCGCTAGCACAGGGCTCCTAACATGGTACAGTAACTCTAGGGTCCTCCAGCCCCTCTGACCAGGTGCAGAGGCTATTAATCCCACTCAAACCTCTGCTCCTGAGAGCCAAACAGTGCATGAGTGGTTTTAAAGCTGTCAGCATCCCTTTATCCTAGGAAAGCCCATTCTCAAAGAAAGTACATACACAAGTAGCTCTGTCTTCACACACACACACACACACACACACACACACACACACACCCCTCCAGAGTTGAGTCCTAAGGTACTAAGAGCAGACAACATAGACTCCAAGGGAGATTTAGCTATTCTTTATTGACACGGAGTGTGGGGCAAGGAGCCCCTCCCCCCAGCCTTCACGAGGGTGAGGCAGGTCCATAATGCTTCTCATTCACAACTTTCCTGGGTCCTCCTTCAGTGTGACAGTTCGGTTGAAGACAAGCTGGAGGGTAGTGGAAGAAGAATGACTACCAACCCAGTACCAGACCAGAAGTCTGGCCTAGATAGGTTTCACCATAACTCCTTCCTCATCCCAGAGGAACTGAGGAACGAGGCTCAGGAGATGTAGGTTTTCAGTAACTTGGTGACTTTGGGTAGGGAACAGATGGTTCTAGAGCTCAATTTCAGAAGGATTCTAACAACTCTAACAACTTCGACGATTAAGTAGGGTCTATATAAAATTGTTTGTTGGACTTAATCTCTCAGCCAGTTTCCTCATCTGTAGAACATGAATGCCCCTTCTCAGCTCAACTAGTGACAGTTAAGGGACTGTGGGCACAGTAGTTATCACAATGAATGGTGGCCAACCTCACTGTTGGCCAAAAGGAAATGGTGGGTAAAGGCAACTACCTGTCCTTGGCAACTATCTGGATCCATGGAGAAGTACCCAAGGCGCTCAAACTGGAACTTATCAAAGGGCTTTGCCAGAGCCACAGAGCAGTCTACTAATGCTGCTTCCACCACTCGCAGGGATTCCTGTAGGCAGAGGAACTCAGGCAGTAATCCAGCCAGAGAGACCCACCACCCTCCCAAAACACTGTGAGCCTACCGGATTCAAGTCACTTAGGAATCCACCAGGGACTTCAGCAGGATCTTCAGGATTCTTGTGCTGGAATCTACACCCAAAGTGATGGTCAGACCCCCAGCTGGGCAGCCACAGCAGTCAGTGCCCACCTTGTAACTGCAGCCACCCAGTCCTGTTCACTCACAGTCGCTCATAGAGCCGAATCTCACACGTTAGAGGCTGTGACACCCAGTGAATAAAAGCCTTGGGCTTTTCCCCAGCATCAGCCCGCCTGCAGGTCACCTCCAAGCTCTCCACACAGCCACTGGGGCCCTGAAGTGGGGAGGTTTGCAATCAGACTAGGGAACCACCACAAAATTCTAGCTCCAAGAGGTACTGCTATAGGAAAGTGACAGCTGCCTCACCTTGACAACATGCTGCAGCTCAATGATGTACCCTGTATGTCTCAGGCCCACAGGCTGGCCCCAAGCAAGGCGCTTATAGCCTGGCTCTGGCTCCTAGTGGTAAAAGGTGTTAAAAACAAGGCTCAGAGTGGTGGCACATGGCTATAATCCCAACACCTGGGAAGCTGAAGCAAGAGGACTGCTGCAAGTTCCAGGCCAGCCTAGGCTACACACAAGACCCTGTCTCAAAAACAAAACAAAACAAAACAAAACAAAACAAAACAAGGCTACAAGGGTTAAACAAGTATGAAGCCCCCATGTCTAGCACAGTCTGGTTCATTTAAAGCAAGTAGTAGATGCACTGACAGATAGAATGAGGAGATGAAATGACCCCAGCACCAGAAATAATTGTAAACAGGACCCTTCACTCCATTCAGAAACCTCCATCCCACATTCACCTCCTTGAAGTCCATCTTCTCAATGAAGACAACGGATGCAAAAGGAACCTGGTGGAAGCCCTTGGTCTCATCAGCTGGAAAGTTAGGCACCTGGACATCTAAGGGCTATAGCAAAAAACAGGTATTTGAGTCACATCAGACACAAAGACCCCCATGCCCAGACACCAACCCAGGCACCTGTACTGTTATCTACACACATACTGTTCAGACAAGCTCACCTTGGCAGAGGGAAAGTTGGTGATAACAACCCGTAGCGGTTCTAGCACAGCCATGGCCCGTGGAGCTGTATCATTTAGCACATCACGCACACAGGCTTCTAGAAGATGTGGCTCCATTATAGTCTGTGCCACTGTCACCCCCACCTGGTAAGAAAACTCACTGCAGCCACAAACACATACTATTACACCAGTGTGCATCTGCCCACCCAGCCCACTGGGCTATACCCGGGCACAGAAGTTGTTGATAGCTTCAGGTGGAAAGCCCCGCCTTTTCAGGGCCGTGAGTGTGAAGAGCCGTGGGTCATCCCAGTCCCTGTGGATGAGGTGGTGAGAAGATCTTTTGCAGCAGCACATGCCTCTAAGACTGCCAGCTTTTGACATGCCCAATAGCTATACCTACCGTACTGCACCAGCTGCTACAAGCTGGAGGATCTTCCTCTTGGAGACCACAGCATAGTGCAGGTTAAGACGGCCATACTCCCACTGCACGGGACAGTAGACATCTAGTGCATTACACAGCCAAAAGTAAGAAGAGCGCCTAGGATGGGAGTGTAGGGTTAGAACTGGCTGCCACTACAAATGGAGAAGGACCACAGGAAGGAGTACTGGAATCCCACTGGTCCTGTCCACCCCAATGCCCCAGCTCCTTTACCGAGACTGGAATTCCTTGGTGCACAGTGAGTGAGTGATGTGCTCTATGGAGTCACAAAGGCAGTGGGTGTAGTCGTAGGTAGGGTAGATGCACCTGTGAGCATAGACCCCCATCATCCTGCCTCTCTGCCCTAGCCCAGGCCCACTGCCCTGCTCCCCAGCCCCACCACATGCTAACACCAACCATTTGTCTCCTGTGCGGTGATGTGGTGTGTACTTGACTCGATAGGCCACAGGGTCCATCTTGCCATCCTCCATCACCAGTTTCATCCGCAGTGTGGCCTCACCCTCAGCAAATTTGCCCTTGCGCATCGACTATAAGAGACAAGAACTCAAGCAGCCTCTAGCACAGAAGAATCTCATCCTCAGCATCTTGCCCCACCCAAACCTAACTACCCTTCTAGAACCCCACACCTCAAAGAGCAGCAGTGATTCTTCCACAGGACGGTCCCTCCAGGGTGAAGGTACAGAGTGGTGACCTTTGAGCTCCTCCCCACGCTGGTGGCAAACATAAGCCTGCCCCCTGTGGAAAAGGGTATGAATGCCCGGTAGTCACGATGGTGTTGGCCTACATGGCTCTACCTTATGGCCTAGCCTCACCTATGGATGAGTTCCACAGCCCAGGCATACAGCTGGTCAAAATAGTCAGAAGCATAAGTCACCTTGTAAGGGGTGTAACCTGAGGCAGAACAAAACGCGGTATAAGACACTCACAAGACACCCCATTGGCAGGCCATGCCCAAAGAGAGGTCCACCAACACTAGGCATGCCTAGGCTTCACTCAGCCCATACCAAGCCAAGTCACCATGTCATTGATAGCAGTAAAGAACTTTGCCTCCTCCTTTTCAGGGTTGGTGTCATCAAAGCGCAGAAAACAGATACCACTGTTAGCCTAGAATGGCAGGAATATCCATGAGCTCCTACAGATCCATCAGCCCCCAATTATCTAGCTCAACAAAGTAGAACATTCTGAACTCTCTTATGTCAGAATTAAAAACATGTCCAACAAGTTCTCTCTCATCTTCCTGTATTTAATGCTCCAGATAAACTATGTCTCCCAACATGGGACAGACAACATAGCCCCTTCAGTTTTTCCCAGTGAGCTCAATGGCTTCCTAGATATCTGTCACACATGTAGTTCCTCCATGCTCTGTCAACTGAGGCATATTATCAGGAACAGAATGCAAAGCAGAGACACCTTTCTAGTACCCAGGTATATGAGTATATGGCAGCAGAGACAGTGCCAAAGCCCTAGACCCATACTCACCTTAGCGTAGCCAAAGTTAAAATTGATGGCTTTTGCATGTCCAATGTGCAGGATTCCGTTGGGTTCTGGAGGGAACCGGGTACGTACCTAAGTTAAGGTGAATGAGATCAGAGGAATAAAGTCAGAGCTCAGACCACCCTAAAGAAACAGATGCCCCTTCCCAGGGAAGCGATGGTGCTGGGTAAGATAAGCCAATATGAAGGTAGCCCAGATATCCAAGCAGCTACCTTATAGCACTAGCTTGCCTAGACACATTCCCAGATACCTGACCCCCAGTGATCTCCAAGTGCTGCTTCAGCAGATCCATAGTGTGTGGGGTGGTCACATAGCCAGGGGTCTTGTAGTTCTCACCTGCCAGGATCAGAACAAAGCAAAGGGCCTGGCTGCACCCCAAGGTTCCTTCCCTATGCCAGGCGTCTGGCTGTAGGAGTCAATGCCAAGAACCAGCCCTCGCCAGGGTTTCAAAGTGCCCACTCACCAGGCTTGTGGAACTTAAGGGCCTCTCCCCTTAGCTGCTCCATCAGAGACAAGGTCTGGCAAGCAGGCTCACCTACAAATACAAAGCCAAGGAAAATTTTTCTCCTCTAGATATAACTGTTATACCCAACTCAGGGAAGTACCTATTACTACTACCTATATCCTACAACCAGAACACATCTGAGCAGGCCTATTGTCTCTAATTTTCAGAGACAAAAAATAGAGCTACGCTTCTGAGGCAAAGGTAATACTAGTAATACCAATGCTAAGGCAGAAGACAGGGTACTGGATAAGCCAAAGGCCTAAAGAGCTGGGCTGTAAGGACCTTTCTTTTTTTTCTTTTTGTATTTTCTTAGGGAAGGGTCTACAGGGTGTTCAGGGTCTCACTACTAGATCAGACTCGTAGTGATTCTCCTGTTTACAGCCTCCCAAGTGCTGGGATTACAGGCATATACCACCACACCCAGCCTCAGGGGTGGGGCTGGCATGGCAAGGCCCCTGTATCTGCCTAAGCAAGCACTTTAATCTGCTAAACAATTTGGCCCGCCCAGTAAGGACCTTCCAGAGGGAACATTCCAAAGTCAGGGAGCTGAACTGAGTAGGAGCTGCAAGCCTCTTACCATTCTCCATATTTTTTGATGGTGTCTTGTCTGTTTCTTCTAGTCGAGGTTTTGACACCTGAGAAAAACAGTAACATTGCATCAGACTCTTGGGAGAGAGTCTAGGGAGGTCAGATACTCCCTTTGACAGCCTGAAGCATCCTACTGCACTTCCCTTCCCCTATTCCCTCACTGAAATCTTGGGCTATTCCCAGCCTTACCTTGGGTTTCTTCTGTAGATCAGCTTCCACCTTGGGACCCAGGAGATGGAGGACCTAAGCAAAGACCAGAGTCAGACAGGGATAGGAATGTCCTCTTTTTTTAAAATTTTATTTTTTTATTTTTTTAGGAGTGTCCTCTTTTGAGGATACCCAGTCTATCCCCATCTACTCAATCACCTGAAGGCTTCCTGGCCTATCTACCAAAACTACCTGGAAGAACCAACCTTGTCCATCTACCTTGTCTCCTGTGGTTGTACAGGCCTCAGATGCTTTTTTTTTTTTTTAATTTTTTTTTTATTTATTTGAGAGAGAGAGAGAGAGTGTGAGTGTGTGTGGTGTGTGTGTGTGTGTGTGTGGCCAGCTCAGCCCACCAGGGGGCGGGGCTGGCTGGCATGTGGTGCTGGGGGATTGAACCCCAGTCCCTGATGCTTTGCTAAGCTTGTTCTAAATAGGTGCTTTAGACCACTGAGCCATCTCTCCAGCCCTCAGATGCTTTCTCCTTCCTGAGGGTTCATACTGGACCCAGAAACAAAGACTGCCATTTACAGAGAGGAAAGGTAGGTCCAGCATCAAGACAACTTATCTACCTCAGCCATCACCCTCTTCTGATTCTAGGTCGGTATCCTGAGATGAAGGCCACATCACTCTGGCTTATAGAATGAGGAAACTAAGGTTCAGAGTAAGAGTAAAGTGATTCACCCTAAGCTAGGCACAGCCTATAGGCCAAAGTCAGATGTCACCCCATCCATACTGGGTTCTACTATCTACCATCAGAACAGGACAAAGTCTTCTCCCCACTTTTCTTCATCAGTGGATTTCAAGCTCTGTCCAGGACAGGATGTTTGCCAACTTCAACTCAAGGTGCTCACCTGCATATCCACTTCATGCTTGATCATCTTGCCATCTGCCCACTTGAGCATAGCTCGGGCTTCTCCTAGGACCATGATGACAAGAAGCTGCTGCAAGAAGTCAAGAGAGCACTTCCCTCCTCCCCAAGGTAAGGTCCCAGCTTTCCTTAGGTATCAGAGCCTGAGCCCGCCCAGTCAGGACACTTTTTAGGTATTTCTGCTCCTTCCCCAACTATTTTCCCTCACTCATGTCCAGAAAATACATCATAATCAGCAGAAGCATAACTCCTTGCCCGAAGCTTCCTCTCACCCATCAGCAGCCCCATGTTGAAACGATAACGCTCCATCAGGAGCTGGGACCGGTGCCTACTTATAGTGGCCTCCACCTGCAGAAAGCCAAACCATATGGTTCAGGGAAGCCCATCCAGAGTCACTCTTCCAGGGCCAAGACGAGGGGGGTATCTGATGACTGAGGAAAGACTTACAGCCTCCTCGATCTGCTCTGGGGTCACCATAACACCCACACCACATTCCTGCTCAAAGTCCACGGTATCGATGGGATCCAGGGGATGACTGCGCACATACTCAAGGGCAGCTGAGAAAGGAAGAAGATTCCAAGAAACGTGCAAACAAGACCCTAACTCCAAGAAACCGCAGGTATTTTATTTAGCCTCCTGAGCACTTAAGCCCTGGCACCACCTCAAAGAAAGCTATGGGAAAGAAAAGAAGCTTGTGTTTTGTGGGAAATTCCTCCTCAAGACATTTTTCCCGGACACTTTCACCAGAGGCCCCACCACCACCACATTCCAGTGCTTGTATACATAACTAGGTGTCCAGAAGGAAACTGAGATAGTTGACAGAAAAGGCAGGCAGGAGTGTTAGCGGAATCGAGGGAGTAAGGGAGGAACTGCCTACGGGCAGGTGTCTCACCGCTCAGCTGGGGCTCAGTGTGGATCTTCTTACTAGCTATATAGCTCACAAGGAAAGAGAGACGTCTGGTATCCCTGAGACGGGAAGCCAAGCCGTACAGCAGGGTCCCGGTGGCTTTATCAATGGGGGAGCCCAGAGTCTGCTGCGCCTGGGGTTATGAGGGTCAGGGGAGAAATACCACGTCCAGTCAGTCAGAGGCAAAAGCAGGAAAAGGGGCGTAGGTCTGGATCTGGATCCAGCTCCATGCTGCTCTGGGGTAATGTAATGCAGCAGCCCCGACCAAAAGACAGAGGCGACTCGCACCTGGGTCGCCGCCTCACGCAACTGGGTACTCAAAGCCGCGTTCTTGAGTGTCTCACGAGCTTTCGGTTCGCTCAGGCCGAGGCCGGTGAAAAGCGCTAAGGAGTCGGTAGCAGCCATCGTAGGAACACCGGAAACCGAAAGAAACTCTGGGCAGAGTCTGCACGTTAGCATTTGCCTACTGACCAATAACAACGAAGCGTCCAGGGAGAGCCAATGGCGCCCCATTTCCGCGGAAGGGGGCGTGGCCTCAAGGTGTAGGGCGCCTTTTAAGGGACTAAGCGCTACTCAACCGGCCTTTCCGGTCTCTTTACTTTTGGCTGCGAGGTCTTGGCCCACTAGGAGGGATGAGTCAGAGATTTGCCTCTGGCCTAAGGGAAAGTGTTCAGCACTGCCCCTGGAGGAAAACACAATCCTGACCTTTTGCTTTGACTTTCCTCCTTTAGCTGTGAGATTCTATCCTAGTTTTATTTTCGCGGAGTAAATATGAGCTGTCGCATTTCTGACGTCACAGCTTTAGAGTTGTCATGGAAACGGAGCAAAAGCAAGCCTGGAAAATCCCTTTTCCGGATCCGTCACCCAGAAAGCGTAAGGTAGTTTCTTCCAGAGACACGAAGTAAATATAGTCCTTTTTTTTTTTTTTTTTGGAGGCAGGGTTTCGCTGTGCAATTCAGGCCGACCTTAAACTATTAATGTAGGCGAGGCTGGCCTCGAACTCGGCAGTCTTCACAGCAGCATCACGCCACACGTAATCCAGCATTTTTTAGGTGCTCACAGGGACACACTCGGCCAAGAGAGAGGGGAAGTAACGGTTTGGGACCAGGAGGAAACTTATCGTTCTGTCATGATTTAGTTTACAATCTAATTTCTGTTGTCAAAGCAACCACATATCACAAAAAAAAAAAAAAAAAAACCTAGCAAATTAGACTAAAATCTCCTGCAAACCTAGGATGAGAAAAAGATGGAATACTAATGCTAGACGTGGTGGTATACGCCTATAATCCCAATACTTGTGAAGCTGAGGCAGGAGGGTCCTTATGAGTTCGAGGCCAGCCTGGGCTACAAAGTGAGTTCAAGGCCAGCCCGAACTACCTAATAGCAAGACCCTGTCTCAAAAAAGACATACACAAAAGATAATTTGGGGGTCAAAAAACAGCTGTTGTGCTTGGAGGTCTCCCCAGTTGCACCAAACTTCTAGGATTTGCCGGCTAACAGAACATACAGACTTTCACGTAGAGGGTGTGACAATCAGTTGGTGATGGTGGGATAGCTCATGTTCCTGGAGCCCTTGGTTTGTTTGGGGGGGGTTGTTTTGTGTTTTTTTTGTTTCTTTGTTTGTTTTGTTTTTGCAGTACTGGGAATTGAACTCAGGGCATTCTACTTTCCAGGCAAGCACTTGTTCTACTGAGCTATCTCCCCTGCCCTGTTTTGTTTTGCTTTGTTACAAGGCCTTACTATGCAGCTTGGACTCATGGTGACCCTCCTGCTTTCAACCTTTCCAGCGCTGGGATTACAGGCGTGGGCTGCTACACATGGACTCTGGCTGGCTCAGCCTGCCCTGGTGTCGGGGTTGGCGCATTAGGTGGTGCTAGGGATCGAACCTTGGTCACTGCGCTTACCTAAGCTTACATAAGCAGGCACTTTAGTCTTCTGAGCTATCTTGCTGAGCCCTTGGTTTTGATCATACTTCTGGATCTTCAGGGCCTGGGAAAATCCTGACTGATGCATCACCACATCTAATGATATGCGTGCTTTGTACCCACATCTTACCAATGTCAATGTTTTTTGAGCTTATATTTGAGTCCTACATGACAACCACATTCTAGTTCCACCCAGGACTACATGGGTATCTGTGTACAGTCCTATATCCTAAGGCTTTGAACACTGTGGCCCTTGGACACCAGCCTGACAGCCAGCCCTAGAATTCACTGTACAATGAAGAACAGTACAAAAGTTGTAGGGAATATAGTGCAGGGTGCTGTGGTAGGACACGAAGGAATAGAATTATAGCCACATCACCCCTAAGCCACGTCTGCAGCTACAGGGGCCTACACCAGCACAAAGACACCCATGATAGCTGGATGTAGTGACACACACCTGTAATCCCAGCCACTCAGAAGACTGAAGCAAGAAGGCTGTCACTTGGAAGCCAGCCTGGACAATGTAGTAAGACCCTATCTCAAAATTAAAAAAAAAAAAAAAAGCCTGGCAGTACATACCTGTAACCTCAGAACTGTAGGATGCTTCCACAGTTTCAAGTCTTGCCAGACATCGTTCATCAGGAAACTGATGCAGGAGGATTGCTGTGAATTTGAGGCCAGCCTAAGCAACAGACTGTGTCTCAAAAAGATAAAAAGGAGGCCAGGCATGCTGGCTGATGCCTATAATTCCAGCCCTCAGGAAGCTAAGGCAAGAAGATTGCTGCAAGTTCCAGTCCAGCCTCAGCTACTAAGTGAGTTCAAAGCCAGCCTGAATTGCATAATGAAACCCTGTCTCAAAAAGGCAATAGTAATAATATTAAAGGGCATATGGGGGGCTGGTGAGATGGCTCAGTGGTCTAAAGCACCTACTTAGAACAAGCTTAGCAAAAAAGCACAGGGACCGCGGTTCAATCCCCCAGCACCACATGCCAGTCAGTCCCGCCCCCTGGTGGGCTGAGCTGGCCACACCCACCCACACACCCACCCACACACACACACACACACAACTAAATAAATAAATAGAATTAAAAAAAAATAAAGGGCATATGGGAATATAATGCAATGCAAAGGTTCTGGGTTCAGTCCCCACTAATATGGAGAGAGAGAGAGAGAGAGAGAGAGAGAGAGAGAGAGAGAGAGAGAGAGAGAGAATAATGAACAGACCAGCCAGATATGGTGTTGCATGCCTAAAATCTCAGCACTCTTGAGGCAGGAGGATCATTGCAAGTTCAAGACCAGCCTGAGCTACAAAGGGAGCTCAAGGCCAGCCTGAACAGCATAGCAAGACCCTGTCTCAAAAAGACACACGGGCTGGTGAGATGGCTCAGTGGTCTAAAGCACCTACTTAGAACAAGCTTAACAAATTTATTTTTTTTTATTTTGTGTGTGTGTGTGTGTGTGTGTGTGTGTGTGTGTGTGGCCAGCTCAGCCCACCAGGGGACGGGCCTGGCTGGCATGTGGTGCTGGGGGACTGAACCGCGGTCCCTGTGCTTTGTTAAGCTTGTTCCAAGTAGGTGCTTTAGACCACTGAGCCATCTCTCCAGCCCCAATAAATAAATAAAAAAAAGACACACACACAATAAGGGGGGCGCGGGGAGATGGCTCAGTAGAGTAAGTGCTTGCCTGGCCGAAAAAGAAAAAGAAAGAAAAAAATGAACAGACCAAGAAGAGTGCCTACTGCTGCCACTGTTCCCGTGGTACCTGACTGCTATCAAAGGGTTCATTGCAACTTGATCACCAGCACCAACACCAAGTCCTGCAAGTCTGATGATGGCCCTGGGCAAAGCTTGCTCTCCATGATTCCCTCATGGCACCCTGTAAGCCTATATAACAGAATAAAGTAGTAGCTCTGCCAATACAACTAAACATAACACTATCCCTGACTCTGAGGTTGAGGGGTATCAGCAAGGCCTACATGCTAAGCTTCATGAGATTGGTTCCATGGGCTTAGAATTGGATGGAGCTACAGGTTTACCAGAACGATGCTTCATATTCCCTAACTCCTCTGACTATTGTCCTAATTATTTTTGTTCCCCATGTCCCTCCACTTGAAGATCTACATTCAATCCTCCAATTAAGAAGGGGCAGCATTATCCAAAGGGAGGCAAGGGAGCTTATTACAAGATGTGTGTTCAAAGTTGCAGAGGTGCTGAAACTTGAATATTCTAGGTCAGTTGCTAGCAGCCAAGGTCTCAGGGACTCTTAGGAGAAGAAATAGTTTGGCAGGCCCTAGCACATCCCCTAGGGAGTCAAGACAAGATTTACCTCTTCGAAAGAGGATCCTCCTCAGCCCCCAACCCCATTTAAATCTCGCTCCAGTATCTCTGCACTCAGAGATTAGACCCAAGACGTTCACACATACCTATATCCCCAGGCCACTGATTTATTCTTTTTTTTTTTTTTCTCCTTCTCCTTTCTTGGTGGTGGTGCTGGGATTGAACCCAGGGTCTTATGCATGGAAAGCAAAACCTCTACTGTCAAGCCAAATCTCCAGCCCCTATTTACTTACTTGAGACAGGGTCCCACCAAGCCCTTTAGTTGTCCAGGCAAGGCTTAAACTCTGCTTCAGTCTCCCAGTGCTAGGATTACAGGTGTGCACTACTATTCCAGTCTTCCAGTCCCCTACCAAGTCCTTCCCAACGTACTCTAGTGCCTGCACCTTCCACTCCACAATATTAGCATTGTAGAATTTTCCTCTTCCCTAGATGCTGTGATATCTTGACAGTGATGCCAGCTACTTCTATATTAGATCCTAAACCAGTTGAACAGGGAAGCCAGCTGGCTTCACAGCTGATGGCATGGGGGAGGGGTGCTTCATGACCCACCAGGAGTGCCCCCAACCGCACCTCAGAATATAGTATTTTCAGGGTCTCTCTCTCTCTCTCTCTCTCTCTCTCTCTCTCTCTCTCTCTCTCTCTCACACACACACACAAAGTGCATGCACGTGGGGTGATGTAAGACTGGGTAGGTAGCCATAGCATGTGGTAGATTAGTCACTAAGTCATCTGCTTATGTATTATTTATTTTTAAAATATATTTAAACAGCAGCAATCACTTTCAAAATGCAAAAAAAAATTACAATTTTTTAGAATAAAATTATAACATTTATAATGCAGGTCAGGAAGAATTGAAGGTACAACTGAGAATCCAATCACACAGTACTGGAGGCAGCTGGAGAAGCCACAGCCCACTGGTTAGGGGACCAAGCTAACAAGAGGTCACAACCTATGAGGTTCCCACCCGAATTATACCCCCCAACTCCCCACTGATACAGCCAGTGTCCTCTGGTGAAGAGGAGAAGCGGCAAAGACAGGGCCCTCTGTAGAGGATCCCTAAACCCAGTTTCCCATCAGTCAGGGACCTGCTAATCGACCTCCTCCATGTTGCTGTAGGTGGGGGCTGGGCGGTCCACAGGGGGGGCGTAGCGTTCAGGGGCTGTCCGCGTGGG